AGCAGCAGCAGCAGCAGCAGCAGCAGCAGCAGCAGCAGCGGCAGCAGCAGCAGCAGCACTACCATCACCAGCAGCAGCAGCAGCAGCAGCAGAAGGGTCTAAAAGAGATTTTATTGTTGTCTTAACATTTAATTGCATTAAACTAGCATTTTGCTTCGAAGACAGAATTACTGCGGAGACCTTTCGGCTGTCTACTGCACTACTTGCTAGACGAGTAAGACCAATAAATAAATAAATAAATATTAAATAAATACTAATAAATAAATAAATAAATAAATATTGAGTAAAAAATGAATAAATAAATTATAAATAAATAAATATTAAATAAATAAATAAATATAAATAAAACAAAAGTGAGTCGAACAAACAAAAGCAAAAAAAAAGAGTCAACAGAGGAGACGAGAGACAGCGCCTATGAAGATAATATAATAATAATAATAATAATATAATAATAATAATAATAAATAATAATAATAATAATAAATAGATAAATAATAATAATGCCGGAAAATGTTGAAGAAAATATAAACAGACGAATCAAAATAAAAAACAGTCAAAATATTACACACACACAAAACAATTAGCAGCAACAGCAGCAGCAGCAAAAGCATCAGCAACAGCAGCAGCAGCAACAGCAGCAGCAGCAACAGCAGCAACAGCAACAGCAGCAGCAGCAGCAACAGCAGCAGAAGCAGAGCTAGCAAGGGGAGTGCGAGGGCACGGAACACGCTCACCAGCAGCAGCAGCAGCAGCAATAACAGCAACAGCAGCAGTAGCAGTAACAGCAGCAGCAGCAGCATGAGCAGCAGCAACATGAGCAGCAGCAGGATGTCTTAATGTGTGTGTTGGTGCATGCAGGCGAGAGAAGTGCAGCAGCAAACGAGTTTTTCAGCGTTTGTTTCTTTTGCGGAGAGCCTACCCTTTACTCCTCGAGCAGCAAAACAACTGCTGCACATGCTAGCAGCACCAAACAGCAGCAGCAACAGCAGCAGCAGCAACTGGAATCAGGACGAATCTGAGCAGCAGGAGCAGCAGCATCTGCAGCAGCAGCACGAGGGTGCTGCTGCTTCTATAGACGTTGAAGATTCGCTGTTAGCTTGTGGGTGCTGGTCGCCCTTAGACAACCCCAGGGGGGGGGCCCCCCCCTTCATACAAAGGGGGGGGGCCCCCCTTATAAGCCAAAGTAAGGGGGGGGCCCCCA